AAAGACTTCATTTGACCTCTGACCTTCCATCGTCTTTTCAGAGAGTGCTTGCAAGTCAACAGCAACGGAGTGCAAAAATATGGGCGGGTCATGCGAGCTGCCCAGCCAATCGCTCGTCAACAAGTGCGATTTGGTTAACCTCAGTCTGTGTCCCGGATGTGCCTGTTGTATTGGTGAGGATATAGTATGTTAATATCATTATTCGGGCTTTGGTCTGCTGTATATTCGGATATTGTATATTATTTGATTAGTATCATTATCATAATTTTTGTTACTTTTATCATTATTGTTTATCATATCACTATCATATTAATTATGTTACCATTATATTATATATTACCGTATTACTGCTACTACTACTCCTACTCTCACCATAATCATCATCACTATTATCATCTTTATTGTTACTGTTTTATCACTGCTCATACCGGAATTCGGATTACTGTATTCTGGTAAATGTTTTATTTTATCATTATTATCATTGCTTTTATTTATACTATTGTTATTTTTATTTAATTCAGTTCATTTTCTTCTAGAATTCTACTCTTGAATTCGTGTTTTTGGTTCACTGTACACTGCCTATTGTATTTATGTATTTTTCCTTTTGAATTGATGTATCGACATGTTGCACTATTCGGTTTCTGCATGTTATTAACGTAGTTATATTATTTATCAGTACATTAATCCATTCTTCCTGTAATCGCAATAGGAAAAATATGTTATCTACTGAGTCAATAATGTAAAGTTTACCGCAGTTTGACTTTTTGGAAAATGGTAAACACTTTGTTCTTTCATGAAAAAGTTATTTATTCTGATCCTTCCTCCTCGCCACTCAACCTTTTCCTCTTTCTCATCGTGTTTAACACTCTCCTCCTTCTTAAAATCCTAACTCCTTTTTTACATCCTCTCCTCTTATCTCCTCCTTCGAATCCTTCTCCTCTCACCTCAACTGCAAGCAGAAAGACGACAGGGCAAAAGACGAGTGCCAAGCCAGCTCGTGTGAAGCTGTGGGTGAAAGTCAGGCGGGGGGAGGTGGTGCAGACCAGTGCAAGAGAATTGGAGAAGGAGCCGGGCAGGCCGTCCGCAAGTTCTGTTCTGGAAAAGACTGCACTTGCTGCATTCCGAGTAAGTCACTGTGCTTGCGTTTGCACTGTAGAAACGACTCTATGTGACAGTATGATGTAGAGTTGGCATGCAGTCTGTATATTATTCTATAGCATTTATAAGTCTATTGTATATTCCATATTTGCTTTCATCTAGATATTGTGATAGGCAGGCACACAAACACACACACGCACACGCACACGCACACGCACACACGCACACACACCACACACACACACACACACACACTCACTCTCACTCACTTTCTCTCTCTCTCTCACATACTCACAGATGCACATCTGTACAGAGAAAATGGCTTTATTCCCCTCCTCTCCATCTCCACTTTTAACATTCCCACCATTCATAAAAAGCGCATTTTCTCAACACCTTTCTCCCTTGTCATCCCAGAGGATAAATGCGGCTGGAACACACCCAAATGCTCCATGTATAACGGCCGTTGCGATTCATCCTGTAAGAGTGACGAGACTTCCATCCCCGGCGTGTGTGGCAGCGACAACTGCAAATGCTGCGTCCCCGGCGGTGGGTTTTAGTCTGGCTTCAAGGAGGAGGAACTGTGGTGCTCCTTGTTTTTTTTTTTTTTTTTTTTTTTTTTTAGTTTTCTTTTTTTGTTTGTTTTCTTCCTTCTTTTTTGTTTGTTTATTCTAGGGTCAATATAGTCATGTGGGTAAACTTTTATTTCATTTCTTAGCTTTACTTGGTGAAGATCCCTCTCTTGAGTCTGTCCTTATATAATATATATATATATATATATATATATATATATATATATATATATATATATATATATATATTTTTTTTTTTTTTTTTTTTTTTTTTTTTTTTTTTTTTTTTTTTTTTTTTATCTATTATTACTTTTTTGCGTTTTATAACGTGTACGTACCAAATCATTTCGTGAAATCTAATTCACACATCGGTGTACAAGCAGCAATAACTACAACAATAACAACAACATAAAATCATGGCATTAAAGTATTCATCGGGTTTTCCACCACGCAACTTCGATGAATTGTTGCCAAAGATAGTTAACTTTAGGCGTCTGGAAACTTCCTTCCATTACCTCCTCCTCTTCCTCGCCCTCGTTCTCCTCTTCCTATTTACTTTACTTATTGCTTTTTCGCTTCTTTCCCCTCTTTTTGACGTCTTCCTCTTCTTCTTTTCCACATCTTCTCATTCCTCCATCTCTTCGTCTTCTTTGCCTCCCTTGCTCTTCTTTTTCCTACATTTTGTTTACCACAAATCCTCAGTTCTCTCTTCTTTCTTCCATCTTCGAACATTCTTCTCGTCTTTGCCTTTCTCCTTATATTTCGCATGATCTTCTCTTGTCTTTTCTCCCACTTCCTCTATTTCTTCCGCTTCTCCGCCCTTATTTTCCGCC